TGTGCATGAAACTAATTGCCCTAGTCCAAATTGCACATAACTTCTCATTGTAAAACAATCTATACTTCTACGCTCCCATCGGCAGTGTCCAATAAAAGAGCCAAATCCTCCAAATTAAGATCCATGGCAACACATACTCTGGATACTCCCACTTTCTACTCTCTACTTAAGTAACACACTTTTATTCATTCAAAAAAATGTGAGAGCGGGAGTTTTAATTCCTTAGAATCCATTTATTATTTTCGTAGTTTTCCCCACCTAAAATCAACCTCATGAAATGGGAATAAGCTAACATTTATTAGTTTTTTTTTTTTAGACCACGAGGTGTCCTAAGCAAACCCTAACAGTTTATTAGTTGTGGTGTATTGCTACATACATACAGGGGCGGAGCCACTATGGAGGCAGTAGAGGCAGCTTCCCCCCCTCCCCCCACTGACAGTAATGCCATGGACTCGGATCCACCTTGCAATGTGGAGGACCCGGATCAAAATACACAATCTATATACTGAATATTCACAATTTACATACTGAATGTTCACAATTCAAATTTTGAACTTTTAGTATGTAAATTGTGAACATTTAGTATATAAAATTGTGAACATTCAATATGTAAATTTTGAATATTTAGTATGTAAATTGTGAACATTTACGGCTCGTTTGGTTCGCTGGAAAATATTTGAAGGGAAATGGAATTGAAATTCCATGGAAAATAAATTCCAAGAAAATAGATTCCATTGTTTGGTTGGTGGAAAATAAATTACTGGAAATATGAATTCCATTATTTGGTTGAGTTTGGAATGGTAAGGAATAATGTGTATAATGACAAATATAACCCTACACAACAATAATAACATAATAATAATAATAAGAGTAATTAATAAAGAATGGTGAGGGTAAAATTGTCATATTAGTTTTCCATGGAAAACAAAATACTTAACAAGAGCTAGGAATTTGTTTTCCTCATTCTCAAGAAAAACTTTTTCCAATGGAAAATGTTTTCCAACCAACCAAACAACATAAAACATCATTTTCCTTCACTTTTAGAAAAACATTTTCCATGGAAAATGTTTTCCATCCAACCAAACAGGTTCATGGAAAATGTTTTCCAAAAGAAAATATTTTCCTTAAAGTGGAAGAAAATGTTGTTTTCTGGTGTTTGGTTCATGGAATTCATTTTCCATTGGAAAATGAATTCCTCAAATTTGAGGAAAAAAAAAATCATTGGTTGGACCAATAATGATTTTGTTTTCCAGGGAAGATGGGAAGAAAAAGTGATATGAATTGCCTATTTTACCCTTGTTTTCTTTTTTAATTATATTACTCTTATTAATTTGTAGAGGCGTATAGGTCTTTATATTCGTTATTCCTTACATAATACATAATACACATCAACTTTTAACTGAATACACATAAACTCATAACACAATACACATAAACTTTTAACTGAATACACATAATGGAGTTTGGTCTGTTCGGACGGACAGAGTGACGTTAGCAAGAAACGCGCGCGTTTTGTGCCTGTGTGCACCGTGGTGCACGATATAAATTGCTCACTTAGTGGCTAGGGGATTGTTGGGTAAAATCTGATACAAGGTGATAAAGGACTTAAAAAGCAAAGTCTAATATAGTATGTCGATCTCGAAAATTATGTGACAGACTGACAGTATATAAGTAAATAAAATTATGAGTTAATAACCGATTTGGTCCTCTGACTATTGCAAAACTACCGATTTAGTCCTCGACTATCATTCTTACCAAATTAAGTCCTCAACTTTACAATTTTCGCTCGATTTCGTCCTCCATCTATTTTACCGTCAAACTTCCGTCTTCACCAAGGACAATAAGGTAAATACACATGGGGCAAAAATTTACCTGATATCTTCATGATCCAGCCAAAGAAGAAGCTGCCGGAGGAGGAGGACGACACTCTTTCGCTTTGTGATCTTCCGGCCTACTGTAACGCCACCGAGTGGGTTAAATATTCCGGCGAGTCGCAGAGCTCCAGTGGTACTAGCTTCACCTCCCTTTCGTCATTGCCTTCATCGGCGGTGACGGCGGTTTCAAGTTTTTTAGCTAGGAGTGGAAGAACAGCTCTTGAGGTTGTCGCAGTAGACGTCGCATGCATTGGTGTGTGAGAAAGGGAAACTTTAATATAGGGCGGGTTGGGCGCTGGAGGCATAGCCCCCAATGTTCCCAACCCCCATGAAGAAGGAGAAGAGCGTGTTTGCCAATCGCGTTTTGCTGTCATCCCCGCCGGAGAGATCTGCTAGTAGCGTTCTGCACGACCCTTGTAGCATGTTGTTGGCCACGTCCAGGATCCAGAAACCGTGGGGAAACTTGAGCAATCTTTTCGGCCACGTCCACATCCAGGATATCATTGTATGCCGGCCAGGGAGGAAGAAAGACAAAATCTTGGGCTCAAGCCTGTCAACTATCGTGGAAAATAGCCATTTCAACGTGTTTATGGAATTCAGGTTTTCATGCTGGAAGCAGAGCACTCATTTTCCTACTTAATTCTATCAAAATTTTGGAGTCTTTTATCGTTGGCACACCTTTATATATTCTCTTTATATATTCAGGAACCTGTTTCTGTGGCTCTCTCTGCTTTAAATCTTGCAATACAATTCCATGGCTGGGTATCCTTCTTCATTCTAATGGATACTCCTATAGAATGCCTGAAACTCTGCTTGTGTTTGTCTTAAAAGTGAGTAATGTTCATCTTTTGTTTGTGACTCGTGCTCTTTTATGACCTTTATATTGAACAGTAAATCTACAGATAAAACATGTACATGCAGTTTGTTTGTTTCATTTACATAATTTCAGCTAAAGTAAAATAAAGACTAATAATTAATCCAACAATTTGAAGCCACTAGGGCAGTACGCAGTGGACCAAAAACAGTAGAGGAATCTCCTTAGCTTGGCCGGCCGGAGTTACGGAAGTACGAGGATGGAGGTCGAGGTTCTGCGGGAGCTGAACGTGGATGCTTTGGCGCTGCAAGACGTGAAGGCAGAGGAGGAGAGAGAGATGAAGCTGCTGTCGGATTTGGCCGCTGGGCTGGGAATGAAGTACGCATTTGCAGAGAGCTGGGCGCCGGAGTTCGGGAATGCTGTGATCTCGTCTTCACTTCGTTGCCGGCAAACACAGCCCCACCGTAGAAGAAAATGAAAGCTGTGTGTAATTACATTACTATCCTTACTTAGACGGAGGTTTGACGATAAAATAGATGGAGGACGAAATCGAACAAAAATTATAAAATTGAGGACTTAATTTGGTAAAAATGATAATTGAGTACTAAATCGGTAGTTTCACAATAGTCGGAGGACCAAATCGGTTATTAACTCTAAAATTATGCTTTCACTAATAATTATCCTTTTGATATAGTGAAAAGCGCTCCATCCTAACACTAAACCCATAGGAGGTTAAAGAAGGCTCTGATTCCTAGATTGAGAGGCACAAAGACAAGCTTGAGAATGGTGTTTTCCTGTTGGTAAAAGAAGATACTTATCCTATACCGCTATACCTTTCCCTTCAATTGGAGCCAAGTGCCTTTACTTGTGCCTAACTACTCTCTACTATCACCTTCCCAATTACTTTCTCCACGAAGTAAAAACCAAAAAACATCTTCACTTTCCTGCGGATGTTGTCAGTCTCCGGCGGCCTGCACCAATCTCAGCCGCAATGCAAAAGCCCGTGCTTGAGCCAGAGCGACGCACCAATCCCTTAATCTGGTGCGCCGCTTTGATCTGCACCATTCTCACCATAGCCGTGATCATCACCGGTTTCGCGGTCTTCGTGGGCTACCTGGTTCTCCGCCCCAAGGTGCCTCAAATGAGCGTGAGGAGCGCCCGTTTGGAGAGCATCGACTACGACATGGCCGGCATCTTAGCCGTGAAGGTCTCCGTCGTGATCACCGCCCAGAACGACAACGCGAGAGCCCACGCCAGCTTCTACAAGACCAGCTACGCGCTCAGCTTCGGCGGCGTCAAAGTGGCGTATCTGAACGCCGAGCCTTTCGACGTCCCCAAGAACAGCTCCCGCGACTTGTACTACCTGGTGGAGTCGACGCCCATCCCGCTGTCGCCGGAGCAGGGGGAGACGGTGGAGGCGGCGCTGCGGCGGAGCCAAGTGGCGTTTGATCTTAAAGGGACGTCCAGGACCCGGTGGAGAATCTGGAGGCTGGGTTCGGTTAAGTTTTGGCTTCACCTTGATTGTCACCTCAAACTTCCTCTAGATCGAACCACACTTTACCCAAAATGCACCACAAAATCTAGGTAGATTGTTTAGTCTCTTTCTCCCTCTCTCAAAATTCCTCAACAATAAAGGTAATCTCACTCAAGATGACAAGACATTCGCACATGTAATCAAGTCACGAATTTGAATCCTTGCTCCCTGATTTGAGCTGATCAGTCATAAGTAATAACTTAAGCTGATTTACTTTCTTAAAGTTCTTTGTCAGTTAGGGTTACAAGGACAGGATTTACTCACATTCCAAAGGGTTATGGAGTTCCCGTCATCAAATAAAAAAAATCCTCAAGAATAAAGCATTGCCAACAGCTTTAATTTACCTTTTTGTTATTTATATTATTAATAAGTTTTTACGGTGCAATTTGATAATATTGTGCCATGTTTTTAAATAAAAGAAGAATTACAAATACATTTTGATATCATTGTAACTTTTATTTTATATCAGATAATAAATGCGAAAGATCCAATGATTTAATGGGAATTATTGTTATGGTATATGTTATAGTGTCCCTTACTCATACATGAAAATTTCTTTTTTTTTTTTTTTTATTATAAGGAAGGGGATACCCTACATATACAAACTATTTGCCTCAAATAAGGTTCAAACCTTACACATCTCACTTAGGGGAGTAACCCGATACTAGTAGACTACAAGCCACTTGGTTGAAAATTTCTTTATTATTAGTTCATATTATATATATTTCAGTTAATACCACTTAGCTTGGAGATATTAAGGATATATGTGACTGACATTTTCTATCTCTGTATTTGTTCTAATTATGCTCCGGTAGAATAGTTGTTCTTCCCTGAGTATTTTCATGTAGAGTACTGTAATCAAATACTTAAAATTATTATATACAGTAATTAAATCAATTAGTGCAAATTGTATTTTTTTTTAATATTGTAGAAGTACTGTTGTTGTAATTGGTAATTAACGAATAAGAGTAAACCCAATTGTTGAGGTAGGACTATTGACCAATTGTTATATCATAGAATATGGTAGACCTTATATTGTTATTCACCAGGATTATTGACCAATTATTCAATTGACCTTGGTCACAGGGTGACATCACTGCTGGAATTTCGCGATTTTCCGACCACATTTCCGATCACCCAAAAATTTGGTCGCAAAATGTGACTTTTTTCATCTTTTCGACGAAAGGTTATAGTGGTCGGAAAGTGGTCGTAACTTCCGACCACTTTCAATATGTGGTCGCTATTTCCGACCACTATTTACATTGTCGTCGGAAACTTTTTGCCAAATTTAATTTTTTAAATTAGTCTTCATTTGCGACCACCCTTGTGGTCGGAAATATTTTTTGGAAGTTTAAATTTGTATATTAAGTATGAAATATTTTTGGAAGTTTAACTTTGTATACTTGAAGAGTTGTAGAAAATACCAACCACCAAGTAAAGGTGGTTGGAATTCCTTTTTTTTTTTTTTTGGGTTCAATGGTATGAAGACCAATAGTACACATAAACTCTTAAAACATAATACACATAAATTCATAACATAATAAACATAAACTCTTAACATAATATACATAAAGTTTTAGGGTGCACAATATAATTTGCCATGAAAGCCACATGATTTTTTTTTTTTATAACTGATTATTTCATCGATATTTTTTTTTTTCGATTTCGACCAACAACGACGCATAGAGTTTACTAGTAGATACCAACTCACTATTCTTGCTATGAAAAATAAGATGATGTTGCTTATTCCAGGTAGATACATGAAATCATTTTCGAACTTCAACTCTTTAAAAAAATTATTCTTGTTAGGACTTTGTCCTAGTTCTATTCAGTTTCATATTCCTACATAATGCATTGTATATCATCGTGTATTGTACTGTGCATATTATTTTTATCACAAAATACAAACATTCATATGGCATCGGTAGTTAGTGTAGTTAATAATATATGTGGCTTAGATTAGTTGACCTCATCTCTACCAAAAAAAGATTAGTTGACCTCATCTACAACCTATTGTATACGAACATCTACGTTACTATTTACTTGTATTATCCTTTCAGGATTCTGTCCCTAAATTCCGCCCACCACTTTATCTCAATCAAATTAACATCCCACAATTACCTTTTTTGGCATACCCAAATCATTCCCTTCCTCCGTGGCCAAGGTTTATTAGGTTTTATCGATGGTGGTCGATCGTGTCCGTCGCCGATTCTGGAGGCTGTCGCCGGCGACGGCTCCGACGAAGCTGTCTCAGCCGCCACAACCACTGCAAACCCGGCCTACGCTGCCTAGGTTCAATAAGATGCGTCGATCTTGTCTCTCCTCATCTCCTCCTTGTATTAAATTAGTTGACCTCATGTGCAGCCTATTGTATAAAAACATCTAAGTTACTATTTGCTTGTATTATCCTTTCAAGATTCTGTTGTTGAATTGAATAGTTTTTCCATTCTCAGCGTGTCGCTGTTTTGTCTGAGCGAACCATCTCTAACGCTGCTACGGTGTCTCCTATGCCGGTGGCCATGATTGCCCTTTCAACGGCACATCACTTTGTTTCTATCGAATTGACGTAATGGATTGTATATCATCGTGTATTGTACTATGTATTATTCTTATCCCATAATACAAACATTCATCATTATCTACTATACTAATAAGATAAAGTTAGGCCTATAACGACTAGAAAAAATGACCGTCAAATTATTAAATCAAATGAATGGTTTAAATTGTTCAGATTTTATTTTTTTCTTGAAATTTCATAATTTATCTTTAATTATATGATTATCCGTTAACTTTTCCGTTAAATATTATTTGCTCTTCCTTATGTCCCGTATTTGGTTTCAACCATTTATACAATTATTTTATTGACAATTATAATCAATCTTAACTATATTATATTACATTTGTAAACTTAGAATTACCTATTTAAATACGCAAATTCAACATTAATTATCTATGCATGAACAACTCCAATGTAATATTGCCTTGATATACTTTAAAGTACTTATTTGAAAAAAACATTGGACATTATCCCAATTGCGCAATGCGCGTAAAAAACTAGTAACAATTATAAATTTTGAAAAAAACACTGTAATTGATCATATTAGTATATAATTATAATAAAAAGTTTCTTTATAAAAATTAGGGAAAATGACACTTTTTCCCCCTCAATTATTTAAGTGGCTCTTTTTCCCCCTGAAATGTTAAATGGACATATTTACCCTTAAAATAAATATTTCATTTATTTTTATTCTCCAATAAATTATTACTATAATTTGGTTCAAACCAGATACTATAGTAACCAAACCAAAATATTCCAATTACAATTTATAATCAAAACGCGATATTTAGAGTTTATTAAAATCGCGAACTGGAATGGCCGGTTCATGTTCCGAACTGAAAAAATAAAATACATTTATTGTTGAATTTAAACTATTTTAAAATAAAAAATAAAATTTTAAAATAAAGACGGTTCAAAATCACGAACGGGATCCGGAACCGCCGGTTCATGATCCAGTTTTTTTTTTATTCTTAAATTTAATAAATTGAAATCCAAATATTGGGTTCTAGATCTGAATCATAACTGAAAACTTTTAATTCGATTGCTATAGTGTCTGGTTCAGTTCGAACCGAACCGTGGTAATCGCTACATATACGCAATAATTTGTTGGAGAAGTAAAATAAATAAAATGTTTACTTTAAGGGTAGAAATGTCAATTTAATATATTAGAGGGGAAAACCACCACTTTTAAAATAATTGAGGGGGCTAATGTGCTTACATAAATAATTGAGGGGGAAAAAATGCTATAAGTATATAACATAGGGGGAAAAAGTGCCATTTTCCCTAAAAATTATAAACAATACACATTTATAAATATTTGAAATTTTAAAAAATGTAATGGGGTGATTTTTAATTTAGATTCGAAATTTAAATATTTAAATTACTTTAAATTTTTTTTTAATGCTACTAACTTTATTGCTTTCAATGAAGTTCAAACCCACAACCGCCCACGTGGAAGGGTAACTTTGGTGCCATTAGATCAAAGGTCTTAACAAATTATTTTAATATTTATTTTAATTAGTGTTTGAGAATTATATCTTTAGTATAAATGTAGAATTGATAAACTAAAATAATGAAAAAAATAAATAAATATCTGGCCAAGATTTCACCCCAAATTGGCGCCATTCTCAATTTAGCCCCAAATTTTCGCTCCACTCCTTTACACTACTCCCTCGCTCTTTCACTCCCTCATTCTCATATTTTGCCCCAAAATTTTGTCAATCCTTCACTCCTTCGCTTTTCCCTCCTTCACTCTCTCACTCTCAGCCCTTCACTTCTCCCTCCGTCAATAATTTTTATGTTGCTCTAGGTATAAAGAAATCTAACCCTGGTTTAGCTGCACCAAGCCAATGGGATTTGGTTTCTGATAAGCAAATGATGCAAGAAGAGCAACCCCTTCAGGTTTGTCTATGGGCAAGATTTGAACATGGGTTCTTTTATCACTCACATACTTTAAGCTATAAGTTGCTGCTTGTGGACAGGTGGTGAGATGTACAAAAATAATCAGTCCTAATACTGAAGATGCAAAATATGTGATAAATGTCAAGCAAATAGCAAAGGTATGATGGCTTTCCTTTTATTGATCACTGAATGTATGCACTATCCAATATATGGGGACAAATTGTATATGCTAGTGAGTTACCTGAGAAAAAAGTCTCAATTGGTTGACTGATATTACACCCTTTTTATTCCTGCAGTTTATTGTTGGATTGGGTGACAAAGTTTCACCAACTGATATTGAAGAGGGCATGCGAGTTGGGTATTTCTCTTTCCCCCTCCTATATGCTATGCTAAAGCTCTGGGCGATTGATGTCTCATTGTCTGTATTCTGTATGCAGTGTAGACATTAAATGAATGTTTCTAAGTTATTACTTGGATTGAACTGTGAGATAGGGAAGCTATTTATTCTAGGAGTAAGAGTTGTAGCCTGCTACTTTTTGGTGATTTTAATTTATTTTGGTATATTTTGCAGCGTTGATCAGAATAAATATCAAATCCAGATTCCTTTGCCTCCCCAAATTGATCCAAGTGTCACCATGATGACAGTTGAGGAAAAGCCTGATGTGAACATATACTTTCTCAAGGTAAGCCCTTTATAATTTCATTAAATATAAGATATTATCATGGCATGAAATCTTAGATCACTAACTCTTTACTATAATTATAAATTAAAGTAGATGGTGCCTAATAATTAGTTCATAGTCACTGGCATGACAACTTTGATAATGAAACTTGTAAGTTCAGCTTGTGTATTTTTTATATTGAATCATATTTTCATCTGTTGGGTCAGCCTGCATAGCAATGAACTATTTGTAGAGCTTATCGTCTTTCTTGGTGTTGTCCTCCAAAAATATAATCAACACAAGCAAGGTATGAACTTTTATGGTCCTGCTTTCACATTTCTATATTATTTGTAACTGTATATGTATTAAGTGTTTCCAATCTATTGATCCTAATTTTCAGAGAGCCGGTAGCCATGAAAGTAGTGGCATTGGGCTAGATGACTTTGGTTTCAATGATGACACACAATATCTTACACAAGTGGAATATAAATAAAGATTCTAACTTCTTTTGTGATGCTTAATGTGATGTAAGAAGTATTTTGATTTGTAAAGTAGCATTTTAGAATTAGAAACTAGTTTCTTTAGAGGTGGATATTAGAATTAGAATATTATGTGTAACTAAATTTGTTATTGAAATGTATAATTTTTGTAGTGATATTGTATTGGTATGCAATTATTTTTTTTTGAATGCTATTGTTATACTTTTTTTTGAATGCTATTGTTATACAATTATTACTTGTTTTAAAATTGTTAAAGTAATATATAATCTGTAAAAAAGTGCATACCAAAATAGTAATTTTTTTTAAATTACATATTCGGATTTCCGACCACCAAGTGGTCGGAAACATAAACACCCACAAGGTGGTTGGTCTGCAATTCCGACGACGCGGTGATCGGAAAGTCCAGACCAGACATCTTTTTTGGTTGGACGCTTTTCCGACCACTAACAAATGTGGTCGGTATTTCCGACTACCTTTGTTGGTGGTCGGAATTACCGACGGGGGTTTTTCCGAATCCCTGTTATGAACGGAAAAGTGGTCGGAAAGGGTGTTTCCGACCTGATTTAAGGCATTTCCGACCACGTTTTGGTGGTCGGAAATCCTGTGATTTCCAACAGTGGATGCACCTCAATATTTTGGTCATATATATCTCTCTTATACAATGTCAGATTAGGCAATTCAAGACTTTATGGAAAGAAAAAAGATAATAATCTATAGCATCTATGTTTTGAGTTTCCTAAAAGTCTAGTTTATCAAGGTTAAAATATAGAGTGAAGTTGCTACATGTGTACAACTTGTTCTTCCTCCTACTCTTGCAAATCCTTAGAGGTTCTGTTGTTGATGTAGTTGTACCACACACGCTTTGAAACTTCATACTAGTTGCAACTTATCATACCAAAATAAATTGATTCATGTTAAGATATAATTGAAGGAAATTAAAACTAATTAATGTTTAAAAAAAAAAAAGAAAAACTAACTGAACTAACTTATATTTGTACGTGGAGCTTGAACAAATCCAATGTTATTGGGTGAATGTCAAACATTTAAACATAATATTATTAAAATAATTTAAAATCACATATTTAAGAAAGATGTCTCATCTCTAGATCTATCAATGTAAAATGAAGAAAATATAATAGAACTAGAAGAAATAAATTCTAATAAATTAGTTTAAAAAAAAAAAAAAAAAAAAAACTTATCTTAGATCTACAAATGTTGAACTACAAAGTTTGCTATTAACTTACCAAAACATGGACCTACTATTTAAATGATGACCCAAAGTGATTTTGATTATGCTATATTTAAGGGTTTCGAAAACATTTAGAAATAAACAAAAGTTTAGAATGCCACCAAAGTAAATTCTAAAACAAAACTTGGATATCAATGTAAAGTTTTAAAATAAGAATGATTTTGCATATAAGGAAAAAATATGATATGATATTTATCTATATCTACTAGTTTTTTACGCGCATTGTGCGATTGGGATAATGCCTAATGTTTTTTTTTTTTTTAAATAAGTACTTTAAAGTATATTAAGGCAAGATTATATTGAAATTGTTCATGCATAGATAATTGAATGTTGAATTTGCGTATTTAAATAGGTAATTCTTCTCCCAAAGGTTGAGTCCCCTACCCCAAGGGCCCCCACACTCTGACCCGACAGAGCATTGTAGGAAGTTGTAAATCACGGTGACTCAATGGTTCAGCAAACAGGACCAAATGTCGGTGTGAACAAGGAATCTGCCAACTTTGGACATAATTCCCGCACTGCCGCTGCCGAGGTTCAAACCTTGGTCTCTTCTCCCAAATACTGCCCACTAAACTATTGAGCTAAGCCCGTGCGGGTTAAATAGGTAATTCTAAGTTTACAAATGCAAGATAATATAGTCAAGATTAATTATAATTGTCAATAAAATAATTGTATAGGTATGGTTGAAACCAAATACGGGACATAAGGGAGAACAAATAAAAATTAGGGCATAAAATATTAAATATATACTAATATTGTTTGAGGAGATTTCGACATTAGGATTTGTGGTTAAGTTCTATTAAGACTTTAATATTAGAATTAGATTAATGGTGTAATTATAATTCTATATTAGACGTTAATATTATAATTAGAATAACGGTGAATTAACGGTACTTAACGAAAAAGTTAAATGGATAATCATATAATTAAGGATAAATTAGAAAAATTTAAAAAAAAAATTAAAACCTGAACAATTTGAACCATTCATTTGATTAAATAATTTGGCGGTCATTTTTTCTACCCAATGTTAATAATTAAATAAATCCGTTGGTCAAATCCGCTAATATAATCCGCGCGCTAACTGCTGATTGTCAAACAAGGACATTGCAAGGTAGTTCTCACTTCAATTTGTTGTGTGATTTGAATACTCTTTTTGTCACAAAATCTCTCAAGTAGTTAATATGTTTGGCTTTATTAATTATATATATTTTTTTAATTTTTTCATGGTATTAATAAAATAAAATACTTGGTAAATAAATATATAGCATTATTTTGTATTATAACTTTGATATTTAATTAGAAAAATAGTGCAAAAAAAAAACGATAATAGACAATGTAGTGAATATAATCAATTGATGAATTTGAATGTAAAAATTTTTACACACGAGAAAAATAAAGACAATATAACTAATGAAAATATTTCTCTTAATTAATTTATTAATAATGAATAATTTTTTTTTCACTGAATTAAGACATTGTAAGAACAATGTAGCGAATATAATCAATTAATAAATTTGAATATAAAGAATTTTTATATTGTAGAAAAATAAAGACAATATAACTAATACAATTATTTCTCTTATTTAATTTATTGATAATGAATAATTTTTTTGCGAATAAAGGCATTGTGGACACATAATTCTAAATTAAAGAAATGCATATCTATAATTTTTTGTTGTAGCTACTAAATTATTATTTAAGAACAATACTAAATTATTATTTATATATATAATTTAATAAGAGTAAAATAGAGTACTAATTATGCCAATTTTAATTTGATTGGGATGAGATTCGAACCTAAGACCTTATTTATTTATTTATTTATTTTTTATTGAAATCAACGAGTAAGTTAATGGTGAACTAACGGCAATTCTTAAAATTTTAACGGAATTAGTAACGGTGTGTGGTATTTTATGAAATTTTAGTGTAAAATTTAAATCTTATCAATCTTTTAATCAATCTGAGCCATTCATTTGATTAAAATCTGTAACCGCCATTTTTTCTACCCATTATATTTTGTATTATAACTTTGATATTTATTAGAAAAATAGTGCAAAAAAAAGATAATAGACAATGTAGTGAATATAATCAATTGATTAATTTGAATGTAAAAATTTTTACACTTGAGAAAAATAAAGACAATATAACTAATGAAAATATTTCTCTTAATTAATTTATTAATAATGAATAATTTTTTTTTCACTGAATTAAGACATTGTAAGGACAATGTAGCGAATATAATCAATTAATAAATTTGAATATAAAGAATTTTTATATTGTAGAAAAATAAAGACAATATAACTAATACAATTATTTCTCTTATTTAATTTATTGATAATGAATAATTTTTTTGTGAATAAAGGCATTGTGGACACATAATTCTAAATTAAAGAAATGCATATCTATAATTTTTTGTTGTAGCTACTAAATTATTATTTATATATAATTTAATAAGAGTAAAATAGAGTACTAATTATGCCAATTTTAATTTGATTGGGATGAAGTTCGAACATAAGACCTTTTTTTTTTTTTTTTTATTGAAATCAATGAGTAAGTTAACGGTGAACTAACGGCAATTCTTAAAATTTTAACGGAATTAGTAACGGTGTGTGGGTATTTTAGGAAATTTTAGTGTAAAATTTAAATCTTATCAATCTTTTAATCAATCTGAGCCATTCATTTGATTAAAATCTGTAACCGCCATTTTTTCTACCCATTATAGGCCTAACTCTTTTGGGCTCTTATTAGTATAGTAGATATAATAACAAAAGTATTATAAATGTCTCTTTCTATCTTTTTTTTTTTTTTTGAATGCGATGTCTCTTTCTATCTATTTATGTAGACATATGTTATATTTATAAGGAATAAGGTTCAAATTGGCCACTGAACGTAACCTGAAAATGCAATTAGGCCACTCAACGAAAAAAAAGTGCAATTAGGCCACTGAACACTTCAAAAATGTGCAATTAAGCCACTGAACACTCCAAATGTATACAATTTCACCGGATAGCAGGTTACCATCAATTTTAGCAGGTTATCTGCTTACGTGGCAGCTGAATTGGCATTTTTTAAAAATAATTTTTAATAAATTTTAATAATAAAATTAAAAAAATTGAAAAAATTAAATAAAAATTAAATAAAAATAAAACGACGGGGTGGTAGGTCATTTTTTTAAAATTTTTTTTTTAAAAATTATTATTAAAAATTATTTTAAAATTATTAAAAATGCCAACTCAGCTGGCACGTAAGTAGGTAACTTGCTAAAATTGATGGTAACCTGCTATCAGGTGAAATTGCATACATTTGAAGTGTTCAGTGGCCTAATTGCACTTTTTTTTTGTTGAGTGACCTAATTGCATTTTCAGATTACGTTCAGTGGCCAATTTGAACCTTATTCCTATTTATAATATTTTTGTACGTGATGGGGAAAATACCATGGACAACTCACTGTATAAGTGCTCGATATGTATCCATTCAGACGCAAGGAAAAGTCCCCGACATGAACTGACCCGGTTAAGTAATGAGACTCGACCCGAGCTGAAACGCAGTCTCACTATTTAAGGTATTAACTGTGTAACTCATCCTGGGCTCGGTCCCGACCCCGTAGTTCAGACCGGGTGTCCCTGGCTTGCAAGACCATTTTTACTAGAAGACAAGCACAGTAGGAAACGCATTGCTCGATCATAGTATAAACGGACATGTCAAATACTTTATCACAAGTGGGTCCATTGGCGATGCCTCCAACCTCCCAAGTGCATGCGCTACATGTGGAGCCCTCAACATGTGTCCCTTATCATCCTTTATATAAGGCTCATTTAATGGCAAGAGGGAGGCACTTTTGGAACTTTCACAAAACTTATTTTAGCTCGTGAACAATACCCGAGCTATACAATATCTAATACAGAGAC